GCCCCCGCTCTTCCTTGTACCAGGTCCCCCCCCGGTAGACCCCCTCCCCCCTCAGGGTCCTGCCCCTTCAGGTGTGTCCCAGGTAGACGCAGTTGAGCCTGTCGAGGTCACTGGTGACTCTGGTGGTGCTGAGGGTGCTGAGCCAAGGGGTGCTAAGACTGGGGGGGATGAGCCTGGGGGTGATGAGCCTTGGGGTGCTGAGCCTGGGGGTGCTGGGCCTGGGGTTGCGGAGCCTAGGGGTGCTGAGCCTGGGGATGCTACGCCTGGGGGTGCTGAGCCTGGGGGTGCTGGACCTGGGGGTGCTACGACTGGAGGTGCTTTGCCTGGGGGTGCTGGGCCTGGGGGTGCTGATGCCTGGAGGTGCTCCGCCTGGAGGTTCTCCGGGTGCTTCGTCTCGCCGGGAGCCACTCTCTCCAAAAGAGCTGCGCGAGTGGTTTGCCCGGCGCTGGAGCCGTGCTGCTGGTGCTGAGGGTGCTGCTGTTGCGGGTCCTGGAGGTGCTCGTACTGGGAGTACTGGAGCTGCTGGGCCTACGGGTTCGTCTGGAGCTGGTGCTGCTGAGGGTCTTGGCGCTGAGACTACCACTGGCGGTCCTACTGGGGGTGCTCCTGGTGCTGCTGGAGGTTCTGGAGCTGCTGGAGGTGCTGCTAGAGCGGGTGCCCCTCCTGGGGGTACTGGTGCTGTCCCTGCTGTTTCTGGCGTCGCCACGCGGCCTCGACCGTACTTCGTTCCACTGCTGCAGCAGGTTCTTGGTCTTCCACCTTCTCCTGGTCCTCCACCTCCCTTGGAGGTTCCCCAGTCTGTCCCGTCACAGCCACAGCTACAGCCTGCCTCCCCTTTGCCTGCTCCTTCTCCCTACGCTGGTCCTACTGGAGGTCTTACTGAGCGTCGTGAGCCTGCGTCTCGTCTTGCGTCGCCTGTTCGTGCTGCTCGCGATAGTGGTCGCTGGTTCGCGTCAGCGTCCTCCGCCTGTCCCTGGCACGCACCGGATGTCTCTGCGTCCGTCTACTGCTCCTCTGCGTGCCCCTTTGCCTTCTCCTCCTGAGTCCTCTCTTCCTGCTCTTGCCGACCCGGAGTCGGACTCTCTTCGTGCTGCCAGTCCTACTGTCACGCGTCTCCTTGCTACTGCCGTCACTGACCCTTCTTTCGAGTCTTCTGCTGCGTGTGCCCTTGTTGCTGAGCTCGTCGACTTTGCTGCTCGCTGTCGCCTAGACTACGCTGCTAGTCTTGTCGCTGAGTCTGCGTCTGTCTGTCCTCCGTCCGTCGGGGGTGAGTGTGCCCTTGGCACTTTTCTGGTTCCCGAGCCTTCGCCTCACCCTCCGACGCTGCTGACTGGGAAGAAGAAAACGTCGACGGCGCCTCCGAAGCTGCTGGACCCCTTCCCTACTGCTCCGTCCCAATCCCCATGGACGAGGAAAATCCTCGCGACAGCAACAATGCCGACATCTACTACCATTTCGCCGACAATGGTTACGTAACACCCCAACCCGTCAACACCGACATCTCTGAACGATACGGCCCAGGATTCGCACCTGATCCTGAAGCGGGAGACGAAGCAGTCTATCCCGAGGATCCCTTGCTGAACCGTCACACCCCCAGCGGACTCCAAGTCCTGGGACTCGTCGCTGCAGTGCACGGGCCTTCGTCGCCACCTGAAGAGCCTCGCTCTGTCAAGCAGGCTCTGGGGGGGGAACACAAAGAAAAATGGCGCGAAGCCATGGAAAAGGAGTTAAAAGCGCTTTCAGACCGCAACACCTGGAAGATCGTCCCTGCATCACTCGCACAAGACAGACCCATTCTCTCCGAGAAATGGGTATTCCGGATCAAAACCAACTCCGACGAAACCATCGAACGATTTAAAGCTCGATGGGTCGTCCGCGGATTCGACCAAGAGTATGGTCGCGACTTCACTGAAACTTTTGCACCAGTCAGTCGACATACTTCCCTGCATATACTCCTCGCCATCGCCGCCTCACGTCGCCGCCCACTCCGACAAATTGACGTCGCCAACGCTTTTCTGTACGCCCCAGTCGACGCTGAAATCTTCGTCGAACAGCCCCACGGGTTCGTCGACGACCCTTCCCTCGTCTGCCAACTACTTAAATCATTATACGGAATTAAGCTGGCACCGCGACTCTGGCAGCAGTACCTGCACGCACGACTTAAACGCATCGGATTCAACCAACTGCCCCATGACCAGGGCATGTATCGCCTCACTCACGACAACGATTACGTCCTGCTAATCGTCTACTGTCGACGATTTACTTTACATCGGGTCAACTACCACCATCGTCACCTGGTTCGAAAGGGAGCTTCAGACAGATCTCTCCCTCACAGTCTCACCCAACGTCACGCAGTACCTAGGGCTCAACATCCTCGACGAAAACAACGCCATTCGTCTCAGCGCCTCAAAATACGCAAACACTATCGCCGAACGCTTCTGCATCACACCGACGCACGTCGCAACACCCTACAGTCACCTATCGCTCGATCCAACCGAAGAAACCAACCCACTCCCGTCTGCTGGAATCCAGGAATATCAACAGAAACTGGGCTGCCTACTCTTTGCCGCCGTTACGTGCCGACCGGATTTATCCTACAGCGCCAGTCAACTAGCGACCTACCTCAAGCGCCCAGAACAACGTCACCTCAAGGAACTCAACCGTGCCCTTCTCTACTTCATCTCGACGCCAACAGTTGGCTTAACGTATCACAAGAGCACGAGGACCGACCTGAAACTACTCGGCTACGTCGACGCTGATCATGCTGCTGATCGTGTCGATCGTCGCTCTCGCACCGGCTACATCTACCGGCTCGAGCCCGTCGGAACTATCTCCTGGCAATCAAGTAAGCAGGAACTCGTCGCACTATCATCTGCTGAAGCAGGGTATATTGCTCTCTGCACCGCTACCAAGGAAGGTCTGTACCTGCGCGAAGTGCTGGAAGAAGCGAAAATTGCGAAAGTACCCAGCTTCTCGCTTTTCTGCGACAACCAGTCCGCGATACGGATCATGAACAAGAATGGCTTGTCAGAATATTATCTTATTGTTCTAGCCTGTAGTGGGGTGCTCTATAGCGAGTACAACCCTTCTAGGGTTTGCTATTTGTATCCTCATTTTTGCTAGTTCAATCCTCCTTCTTTCTTCAAACTTTGTCATGGCTTTGCCAACAGAACCAAGCATATCGCACTGCGATACTTCTTCGTGAAAGACGAAATTGAGAAGGGAAAACTCCAGCTGGACTACTGCCCGACCACCGAGATGGCAGCAGATTATCTCACCAAGAAGCTACCAAAGGGGAAATTCGAGGACTACATGCTGCTTACTGGATTGGGCCACGTCACCGAAGCTACCCACGTCGACACTCCAGAAACGAAGGGGAGTGTTGGGAATATAAACACATGACTTAGTGCGTTTCTGTAGTATCGAACCTCACCCGATACTGAAGCACAACAAAAGGGGTATGAAGTCGAAAAGGCGCGTACCACATCAAACCGCAACTGGACGTTGCGAGCTGTAACCGCCTGGAGGTTACGTAACAGCAAGCGACGCTTCAGTGAACAGTAACCGCCTCGATAGTCGAAGCGTTACGCGTCTCGATAAACATAACCGCTTCCTGTAATCTATCTTTCCTATATATTCGTGTATGCTCTTTGCTTTAATCAATTACTTGTTCTCACATACCAGCACAAGTACATTCACTCAAAAGACTTCCGCTGTGCTACTCTAGCACCTACTAGCCTATTCTCTGCAAAGATCCTAAGGCTGAAATCCTCAGCCCAACACACGTTAAGGGATGACAAAGAGGAGTTTATTCAACAAAGCGGAGATATGCTTTGGGATGCCTATGTTGACAGGATTATTGAGCCTACAGAGGAATGCTACCACTTCTGCTATTGCCCTGGGGCTAACAAAGACGAATGCAATGTTTCATTGGATAACAATGCTGATGTTTCTGTATGAATGACGTAATTCTATGTAATGCATCTGGAGATTACAGAAGTGCCAAAGCCTGAGTGTACAGATACGGGATCAATACCGAACCAGCCAAGTTCAAAAACCGCCACCACGGGTTTCGTGTCAGAGAAATGACAACCACAAGTTCCAGCTGTTACCTGCTGGGTTCACACGAGCGTCACTTTCGGGGTCAAAAGCAGGCAGGTTTCCGTGTCACTTCAGCCTGAATATTGTTGAGGCCAAAATCGGCAAAACGTGTGGTATTTCTGAATCTCGAGCCCGCAGTGGGCTTTTGTCCCTTGAGGACGAGATTAGAGCCCAGAGAAAGAAACTACTGACCCTTAGCTAAGAGAGTCCGAGTTTTTGTCAAATGCGACTTTCCTCAAATTCCTTGAAACTCGAACAGCGCGCTGTCCCCAATAGACCATTCATTCCATTCAGCCACCATGCCCGTTGTCTCACCCACGATCGTCGATGTTGGCCAATGTCAGCTGCTGTGCTGTGTCTGCCACAGCCGCTTCCGTGCCTCAGATACACAACAGGGTTTATTTACATATTGACGTTGAACACCATACTCCACCTATCCACACCCCTCAGAAAATCATGACACAACAGCGTGTTTGCTCTGACACAGGAATGTTTGAGCAGCACAGATGTGCCAACAACCAACCACCCATCCAGTTCCCCCCGCACATCGATAAGCGTGACGTGACACTTTGCCGGCTCTGCCGCTGGCAAACTTATTAGGGTTCGCAAGGATACATGCTCTGCCAGCCACGCAGTTTCGCCCATAACCTGTCTTTGCAGAGTCGCGTTTCCCTTCGACAATTGCTTCTGCGACCACCTCTCAGCTCCGCCGATAGGGGGGTCTATGTTAGGTTATTAAAGGCCTATTCTAATAGTGTTTACTGCTGCATATTCTATCGCGCTAGCTGATTTAGCTCGTAATTTGCCAAGGTGTAACCATGTCAGGCTGCGAGGCAGCTGGCGTGGCGTCGACCGCCGTGGCGACAGTCGCGATGCCTTCGCGAGAGAATGGCGACGACATGGGCGAAGACCCGAAGCGCTTCGACTTCGGGTTCGCTTTCAACAACGCCGACTTTGCCGGTGCGCTAGTCACATCCGGGAAGGTTGAGTCACGTTCGAGCGTAGTTGAACGGACCATAGGGTTCTGGAATAAACACTACGTTTTCATTACAAATATTTTTTTCATAAGTGCTACAGCGGCGTGACATTAGTCCATACGAAAGGTTGAACACTACCTATTTCAGTCCCGAAATGTCGCGTCTATGACCGTCGATGCTCTCGGAAGACGCTAGTTGCCACGTCAATTACCCGAATTGCGTGACGCTTGCAGTTTCTGAGGGCGATTGCTAAAGGCTTTACGGGGACGTTACCACGTCAATTTCCCTAATTGCCACAATTGCGGGACGTTTGCTCTTAAGCGTGGGGTTGTTTCAGGGTCCCAGTTAGGGTTAATAACCCAAAGAAGTACAGTTGTAAGACCGCGCGGGTTCGCGAATGTAACGGATACGTAGAGCGGAATAAAGCGTCGTTTCGTAACATTCGGGTTCCATTCGAGCCTCGACGGTTCGCTGTTTCTATCTGTTTCTACCACCGCTTACTGACCGTGCCACGTGTCATTCCCTCATTCGTTCGACTGCCGCAGATCGCATCGTGCAGCTTCGTATTTGCCCTGACGAAGCCACGACCCCCCGTCGCTCCAGCAGCAGCGGAAGCTTCGGCGCTGCCTCCGGCGGCTCTCCGTCTCGAGGAGGCGGAAGCCCCCTTTCCCCCACCGCCGCCGCCGTCGCCGTAGCTGCCGCATCTGCCGCCGGGAATCTAGGAAAGAGATGTTCGTCAATCGGAGGGGGAGCAGGGGGGGTGGAGCGGGAGGGCGGTGGAAGCGATTGTGCGGATCTCATGGACCTATCGGGCGAAGGGGGGGAGGGGGAGGCGGAAGGGGAGGGGAGCGCGGGCGCCGGGGATGGGGATGGGGAGGGGGAAGGGGAGGGAAGGCGGGACGGGGAGGGGCAGACGAGAAGGTACTCCTTTGACGGCCGAGGGGGTACGAGAGGCGCGAGCGGCGAGTTGTCGTTTCTAGCTGCTGTGAACAATCATTCGCAAGGTGCGTTTCGTGAACAATAATGAAGGTGTGCGGTCGTAGGTTGTTGTAACCAGTTGATTTCCTCAAAGGGACCTTATCAGTTTTCATCCTTAACGACGTTTTTGCTCGCCGCCGTTACACGATCCCTTTACCGTGTCCTCGATTGTCCCTATAGCGCTCATTTACCTCCCGTTCTCTCTACGTTCCTCCTGTGCTCCCTCCGCCGACCACTTGCCTGCTCCCTCTACCCCTCCTCCCCCGCCCCCCCACTTCCTCCTCACCCTTTTCCCTCTTGTATGCTCCCTACACCCCCCCTAGCCTGCTCTCAGCCCTCACCCCCTTATCTGCTCCCATCCCTCCCCTCCTTGCCTGCTCCCACCCCCCCATCCCCCCTTCCCCCCACCCCCTCATCTCCCTCCCCTCTTCGTGCTCCCGGCCTTCCCTTCTGCGCTTTCAGCCATACCGCTGGCAGCAGGTTTGGGACCAGACCAAGCGGCAGCTCTGACAAGAGGTTCGGCAGGAGGGGCTAGCCTCGGCAGCCGCCCTCATAGCCCCTTCACCACCACCACCAGCAGTGCCAGTGCTGCTGCTGGTGCCGCCGCTGCTGCTACTCCTGCTGCGGCTGCCGCCGGCGGTGCTGCCGCCGCTGCTTCTGCTGCTGGTGCTCCTGCTGGTGCTACTGCTGCAGCTGCTGCAGCTGCTGGTGTGGGCGCGGTTGGCAGTGCTGCTGTTGCTGCTGCTGCAGGGGTTGCTGGGGGGGTTGGGGGAGCAACAACCAGAGCTCCAAGGTTTGGCAATCTAGGAGCTTCAGGGCTTGCACCGTTTGAGTCAAGCCAAAGGCAAATCGCAGGGGCGGTGATGGGGACAGGGGCGTGTGGTGGGTGCGGCTTGGTTGGGAGCGGCAGCATTGCTGCTCACCTGGGCGGCAGTAGCGGGAATCTGGGCGGCAGTGGGGGTGCAAATCTGGGCGGCAGTCTGAATCTGGGTGGCGGCGGCGGCGGCGGTGGTGTGACGATAGGGAGTTGTGGGGGGTACAGAGTGGTGAATCTGCATCTGTCCTCGGTGGTGCTGGCAGCCAAGTCTGCCTTCTTCCGCACGCTCTTCACCTGTGGCTTTAAGGAGACGTGCCAGAACAACCCTGTCGTGCTCAACGTCTCACCAGAAGGTAACGTGTCAGAACTCATGCTGGAAGGTGTTCCCGGATTGTCTGTTTTCTTCCGTCACCTGTGAAAGAGAGACGTCGAACCAGCTGCCTGCTGAATTTTTCTTCATCCTCCCTCCCTCCCCCTCAAAGGTAGGCCGGTAATTGGCCTGCTGCGTCTCATCTCATCTACACGGGGACATGCAGGAGGGCAGCAGCGACCCAGACCCAGAGGAGGGGGCATTCGCCTCGCCTCTCCCTCCTTGCTTCTTCCCCACTTCTGCCTCTCTGTTACCCACTCCTTTCCTTCCCCATCACCATCAGAGGAAGGCCCTGCCCTGTAATTGATATCCTTCGATTCATCTACACGGGGGACATGCAGTAGGGCAGCAGCGACCTCGAGGACATAATCAAGACGTACCTCTCACTCCCTCCCGCATTGTCTCTCTTACATCGATCCCCGCCCGCCCCACTCTCTTCTCCCATTCCCATCCCCTTCTTCCCTTCTGTCTGTCTGTCTGTCGTTGTCTTTGCATGCAGAGGAAGGCCCAGTGATCGACCTGCTGCGGTTCATCTACACGGGCGACATGGCGGAGGGCAGCAGCGACCCCGAGGACATCATCAAGACGTACCTCTCACTCCCTCTCGCCTTACTTTCATGCCACTTCTCCTCTTTCCCACTCCCTACAGAGGAAGGCCCAGTGATCGACCTGCTGCGGTTCATCTACACGGGCGACATGGCGGAGGGCAGCAGCGACCCCGAGGACATCATCAAGATGTACCTCGTGGCAGACAAGTTCGGCGTCGCCTCGTGCATGAAGATCTGCCTGGAGCGCCTCGTCAACCTCCCCATGACCGTCCCCACCGCCTGCCTCTACCTCTCGCTCCCCGACTCCATGCACTCGCATAGAGGGGTCGCGCAGCTGCTGGAAGCTTCTCGGGGGTTTCTGGTGGCGCATTTTAGGGATCTGGAGCGCGTGCACAAGGGGGAGGAGTTTCTGGAGCTGCCGCTGGTGGGCGTGCAGACTCTGCTGGCCAGTGACGAGCTGAATGTGAGGGACGAGCTCACGGCGTTTCACGCCATGGTGGAGTGGCTGAGGCATCACCATGATGATCTGGACGACAGGAAGTGAGTGGTCTTGTCTTTCTCACTCCCCCCTCCTCGTTTCCTCCTCATCCCCTCCTTCCCCCTTCATTTCCCCCTTCGCCCCCTCTCACGCACACACATGCACGCGCGCACACACATACGCGCCCTTTCTTGCTGCAAGCGAGGGACGAGCTCACGGCGTTCCATGCCATGGTGGAGTGGCTCAGGCACCACCACGATGATTCAGATGACAGGAAGTGAGTGTGCTCTGGTTGTCAGTGACGACCTGTGTGACAGAAAGTGAGAGCCTCGAGGTGCAAAGTCCTGCACTCATGTCCTCACCATCATGCCTCAATCAATCCTCTTGTTCCCTCTCCACCACCTCCCACCATACACCACCACTATCCAATGCACACCACTAGGCGAGCAGCAGTGCGTCTAGCGGAGCACGTGCGATTCCCCCTCATGACAGGCGACGACCCCGATGACGTGGTGCTGTGCTCTGGTCTACTCATCATCAAGCATCAATGCTCTTGTTCCCTCTCCACCACTCCCCACCGCACACCACCACACTCCACCAGGCGGGCAGCAGTGCGTCTAGCGGAGCACGTGCGCTTCCCCCTCATGACAGGGGACGACCTCGAGGATGTGGTGCTCAAGGCGCCTGAGGTGGACAGCCCCGAGTGCCAGGCGCTGGTGAGTTATTAGTTTGGTGTATACCTGTGCAAAGGGGCGAGCCGAGTAATGCTCGACTCGTCCCTAGCCTTGCTCGGCCGAGTACGAGCCCAAGTCGAGTAATACTCGACCGAGCATTTTTTCACCAAACAGAAACTCGTTACTCGCCCTATAAAAGGGAACTCGGGCGAGCATTTAGAAAAGCTCGTCCGAGTACGAGTAAATACTCGGCCATGTGCCCTACTCCTGCATAGAACGACTCTGTACATAACAACTAGTGAAGGCCATTGGTACCACGGAAGTATTGGGGGTTCCAGGGCCGCCCAGGTAAACCCAAGGTGGTCCCAGGAAGCCTAGGGAAGCCCAGGAAAGCCCTGGGTTGCCCTGGGTAGCCCGTGGTACCAATGGCCTTCACTAGTTGTTATGTACAGAGTCGTTCCATGCAGGAGTAGGGCACATGGCCGAGTATTTACTCGTACTCGGACGAGCTTTTCTAAATGCTCGCCCGAGTTCCCTTTTATAGGGCGAGTAACGAGTTTCTGTTTGGTGAAAAAATGCTCGGTCGAGTATTACTCGACTTGGGCTCGTACTCGACCGAGCAAGGCTAGGGACGAGTCGAGCATTACTCGGCTCGCCCCTTTGCACAGGTATACCCTCTCCCCGTTCTCTCATCTTCCGTCCAGGTGAGGGAGGCAGCATGGTTACGTTCCGAGCGCCTCATGAACGAGACGGCTGCCACTCGCGAGCTCTTTTGGTAATCAATGCACCCCTTCCCACCCTGCCCTCCCCTCCCCCACCGTGCCAGGTGAGGGAAGCAGCATGGTTCCGGGCATACAGCTTGGTGCGTCGCCTGCGCCTCATGAACGAGACGGCCGCCACGCACAGGCGCTTCTGGCAGCGCCGCTGGAACCGCAACTCCGTGGGCCACGTGTACTTCGATATTCACCTGGAGAGGTTTCAGGTGGGTGGTCTGTTCTGTTGGTGTCTGTCAGGTAGGCTGTTTTCTGGTTTCGAGTCAGTTTGCTCGCCTTCGTCCATGCAGTGGCAGCCATTTTGTGCGACTAGGGTTGAGCAACGGCCGAACCTGGTTGCTTACCGCAGAGTAGTTTTACTCATCTGAGATAATTCGACTGAAGGAATCACCCTTCTCTTCTCCCCTCCCCTCCCCTCCCCTCCCCTTCCCTCCCCTCCCCTCCCCTCCCCTCCCCTCTCCTCCCCCACCTTCTCCCCTCCCTTCTCCCCTCCCTTCTCCCCCCCCTTCTCCCCTCCCTTCTCCCCTCCCTTCCCCCCCCCCTTCTCCCCTCCCTTCTCCCCTCCCTTCTCCCCCACCTTCTCCCCTCCCTTCTCCCCTCCCTTCTCCCCCCCCTTCTCCCCTCCCTTCTCCCCTCCCTTCCCCCCCCCCCCTTCTCCCCCCCCTTCTCCCCTCCCATCCCCACCACTCCCCTCCACTCTCTTCATCCCTCTCTTAACTCCAGGCGCTGGCAGTGGCAGCGACGGTGGAGTCTGCCACGTTTGGGATCGGTGGGAAGCGGTTCTACCTGTCAGCCCGGCACGGCAGGCGGGACGATGGCACGGAAACGCTTGACATCCACCTTCACCTGGAGAACAGCCACAGCGTGCAGCCGGAGATCCAGGTATGGTTGATTTGAGGCCCAGGTGTGATTCTCTCCTACCTCAGACCACTGCAGGGAGGGGGGTGATGGTGCAGGGAGGGGGGTGATGGTGCAGGCACTCTACTCCAGGGTAGCATCTGAAATGGGGGTCTCTGGACATTCACCTGCACCTTTGCATTCACCTGCACCTTTGCATTCACCTGCACCTTTGCATTCACCTGCACCTTTGCATGCACCTGCACCTTTGCATTCACCTGCACCTTTGCATTCACCTGCACCTTTGCATGCACCTGCACCTTTGCATTCACCTGCACCTTTGCATTCACCTGCACCTTTGCATGCACCTGCACCTTTGCATTCACCTGCACCTTTGCATTCACCTGCACCTTTGCATGCACCTGCACCTTTGCATTCACCTGCACCTTTGCATTCACCTGCACCTTTGCATTCACCTGCACCTGGGTAAGAGTCACAGTGTTCATCTGGAGATTCAGGTATCAAGTGAAATATAGGCTGAGTATATTCCCTTCCAACACCATGTCAGATGCTGCCCTACAGTCCCCTCCCTCTCTTCTGCCCAACGCCCCTTCCATCCATCTGTCGCTTTCTCCCCGTCCCCTTGCCCTTCCACCTTCCCTCCCCCCTCCTGCTCCCCTTCCTTTCTGCCTTCCTTCCATTCCCCCTTCCCTACGCCCTTCCCCTCCCCCTCTTCCCTCCCCCTCACCTCACCTCTTCGCTCTTCCCCCTCGTGATCTGAGCTCCATCGTATGCCAAGAGGTGGTCTATAGGCCTACCTTTGTGACGGCGTGACCAAGGGGTTTGGGCGCAATGCCACCAATTTAAATCGGTCTTTCTTCACCTCCTTCCCTGCTTTCTTCTCCCCCCCACTTTCCTCCAACCCCCTTCCATTTCCGTCCCCTTCCACCTCTCCCCTCCCATCCCCCCCGACCTCCCTCCTCGTCCCTTGCCCCCTTCTTCTTTCAGGTGAGCTTCATATTCTACGCCAAGCGGTGGCCCGAGGGCCAGTTTGACTACCTGCGGGACCGCGTCACCAAGGGGTTTGGGCGCAACGCGAGCAACTGGGGGTACAGCAACATCCTGGGGCGGCCGTGGGCGGATGTGGTGCAGGACGAGAGCAAGTACTTCAAGAACGGCGTCATGTCCGTCTTTGCTGAGGTGCAGATCCTAGAGGATGCTGGGAGGGGGCCCGTTGTAGGGGGGTGAGGGTGCGAGGGTAGGAGAGCGAGTGGGGCGGGGAGGGGGGGGGGAGAGAGAGGTTGAGGGGCTTTGAAGGAGCAGATTCTGAAGGATGCTGGGAGGGTGCCGGGTGTTGGGGGGTGTGGTGAGGATCCGTTGTGGAGTGAAGAGAGTTGTTGTGTCGGTGTTTGCTCAAGCGCAGATGTCTGAAGATGTCGGGAGAGAGCTGGTTGTGTGGGGGTGAGGATTGGAACGGGTGGGGGCTAGAGAGGGCAGAGGAGAAAGGAGGGTTTGAGGGGCTTCAAAGAATGCATTTTGTAAGGGGGGTTGCAGAAGGGCATGTATCTAAGGATGCTGCGAGAGAGCCCGTTGTGTGGGGGGATGAGGAGAGGAGAGGATGGGGCCGTTGAGGGGCCTTGAAGAAGCAGCATTGCTCCCGTGTGTGCTGTCTGTTGTGCAAATGCTCGAGGAATTAGGATGCTGGGAGGAAGACAGTGATGGGGGGTTAAACATTCGGGGAAGCTGGTGGAAACTCTCCGTATCAGTCAGTCAATCTTATTGTAAGGTCTGACCGTGGGTTGTGTTCATTGCAATGCCATGCCAACCAGAACTATGGACCATGATGCTGCAGAAATCAAAGGTATAAGCATTCCTAAGGCCAAACGCATGCTTCCTCACAGGGTGTGAAACAGCAGTTACTCCTTCCCGTGCCAGGGCAAGGAGGGCAGACTATTCATAGGCCACCAACCCTCGTTTGATACGCCCCTAGTGTCTCTGTGAACCCACTGATAACCAGCTCCAGACCACTCTATTACTGCCAGGTTTTCTGAGCCGTGGTAGGAGCAAAACCTTTAGTCTTGTCCGGCAGAAAACTGATGCAATGTCTTGTGCGGAATTATTCCCCCTTTCTCAAACACTGTCGGAGTAGACAATGCGACCCAGTCACAATCAGAGAAAGAGTTGGAGTGAGTTCACGGAGGAGAGAGGAGGAAGGGAGGTGAAAGCAAGAGGGGGAGAGAGGGAAGGAGGAGCGAGAGCCTTCTTGCCAGCAAAAAGAACGAATCCCCGGCTGCCAAAAACTGCTGAGGGGAGTTGAGGTAAACAAAGGAACAAGGCACAAAGAGAAACGGAAAGGGAGAGATCAGGGAGCAAGGGAGTGCGAGGGGAGAGATCAAAGAGTGAGGGAGTGCGAGGGGGAGAGATCAAAGAGTGAGGAAGTGCGAGGGGGAGAGATCAAAGAGTGAGGGAGTGCGAGGGGGAGAGATCAAAGAGTGAGGGAGTGCGAGGGGGAGAGATCAAAGAGTGAGGGAGTGCGAGGGGGAGAGATCACAGAGTGAGGGAGTGCGAGGGGGAGAGATCACAGAGTGAGGGAGTGCGAGGGGGAGATATCAAAGAGTGAGGGAGTGCGAGGGGGAGAGATCACAGAGTGAGGGAGTGCGAGGGGGAGATATCAAAGAGTGAGGGAGTGCGAGGGGGAGAGATCACAGAGTGAGGGAGTGCGAGGGGGAGATATCAAAGAGTGAGGGAGTGCGAGGGGGAGAGATCACAGAGTGAGGGAGTAAGAGGGGGAGATAGCAAAGAGTGAGGGAGTGAGGGGGAGAGATCAAAGAGCAAGGAAGTGCGAGGGGGAGAGATCAGAGAGCGAGGGAGCGCGAGGTAGAGAGATTCGAGAGCGAGGGAGTGCGAGGGGGACAGATTGGGTAGCTAGGGAGTGCGATGGGGAGGGATTAGAGAGCGGGAGAGTGCGAGGGGAGAGAGACAGGAGAGCGAGGGAGTGCGAGGGGAAAGAGATCAGAGAGCGATGGAGTGTGCGGGGGAGAGATAAAGAGTGAGGGAGTGCGAGGGGGAGAGACAAAGATCGAGGGATTGCAAGGGGGAGAGATCACAGAGTGAGGGAGTGCGAGGAAGTGTGAGGGGTAGAGATCAGAGAGCGAGGGAGCGCGAGGTAGAGAGATTCGAGAGCGAGGGAGTGCGAGGGGGACAGATTGGGTACCTAGGGAGTGCGATGGGGAGGGATTAGAGAGCGGGAGAGTGCGAGGGGAGAGAGACAGGAGAGCAAGGGAGTGCGAAGGGAAAGAGATCAGAGAGCGATGGAGTGTGACGGGGAGAGATAAAGAGTGAGGGAGTGCGAGGGGGAGAGACAAAGAGCGAGGGATTGCAAGGGGGAGAGATAAGAGGGCGAGGGAGTGTGAGAGGGGGAGAGATAGGGAGCGAGGGAATGCGAGGGGGAGAGATAAGGTTGCGAGGGAGTGCGAGGGGAAAGAGATCAGCGAGCGAGGGAGTGCGAGGGGGAGAGATTAAGAGCGAGGGAGTGAGAGGGGGAGAGATAAAGAGCGAGGGCGTGCGAGGGGGGGGGATCAAGAGCGAGGGAGTGCGAGGGGGACAAGAGTGCGAGGAGGAGAGATAAAGAGTGAGGGAGTGCGAGGGGGACAAGAGGGCGAGGGAGTGTGAAGGGGAGAGATAAGAGAGTAAGGAGAGTAATCCGCTTCCTTTCTGTCATCCCTCGTTCTCCTCATCGTCTGCGGTGGGGAGAGAACAGGAGGAAAAAGGGAGGGGAACAGGGGCGTTGGGGGAGGGGGGGTGCAAATGTGAGGAGGGGGGAGGGATGGAGAGGAGCTAGCCTAAGGGAAAGGGCAAAAAGGAGCTCTAGCAATTATCTGGCTGAGTCCCAATATGGTGGGGACAAAACAGGAGGAGGGAAGGAAGTGAGCGAATGGGAGGCGGACTGGGGGTTGGGTGAGTGAGTGAATGATATGGTAATATAGTAGATACCGAATGATATATAATATGCAGTCATGTCATATCATCGGTTTGAGAGCCCAGTCGACAGCACCTGCATTGACGCACCCGCAAAATCGCAGCCATTCACGTGCTGCCGCTGCTGCTGCTGCTGCTGCTGCTGCTGCTGCTTCAGGTGCCACCTGTGCCTCAACCGAAGAGGACTTGGGCTATGGAAAACGGAACTCGTTTGTTGTAGACGAAAGGGCAGGAGCCGGAGCACTTCTAGCCGCGGCAGAAGCTGCACCAGTGGCAGTGGTAACAGCTTTGTTAGAGACTGCTTCAACAGTAGTACTATTCTCTCCCGTCTAACTTCTTTGATATGACCATAACCGCAGAGGGAGAGAGCGGAAAGAGATGGGAGAGGAGGGGTAAGCGGGTGGGAGGGAGCAGTGGAAGTGAAGAATGGGGGTGTAAACATGGTGGGCAAGCTAGAGAAGGGAAGGAGCAAGCAAGGGATGGTAAAGAGGAGCAAACATAGTGGGTGCTGCCTTTCAGGCAGGCCGACGGCATGGTGACTTGCCACTCCAGCAACAGCCTTGGTTGATGATGATGCATCCACTCAATGACCCACAACCTGGTGATTTCCGCCATCATGCTCTCTCATCCTCACTTGCCTGCTCTCGCACCCTGCTGCCCAGCCGGAACCTGGAAAGGGCGAGAGGGGAGAGAGGGGCAGAAAAAGGTGCCACCTTGATGTCAAACATATATATGTGTTCTAGTTTTGGGTAGGCTGTAGTGGGGTAGATACTGTGGGGTACAACCCCTTAGGTTTCTTACTTGTTCCAAAATCTCTCGACATTGCAAACATTCATGCCTAAGTTTCTAAGATGGTATTTAGAGCATAGGTCTTTAGGACCTACGATTAGGGCCCACCGGTTACCGCGTTACCTCACCTACGGCCTTGCCTGCCTGCCAGCCTTGCCTGCTGCCCGCGCACGCCTCGGGTGCACGCGCGCGGCCCCTTATTTTTCTCGCGCGCACCGCTTAAGCAGCCCGCGCAGCCCGTTTTCGGCCCCGCACGCCGCGTCAGCCGCCCGCGCAGCCTGCTGCCGGCCCGCGCGCCGCTTACGCCGCCCGCACGCAGCCCGCTTAGGCCTCGCCCGTGCAGCCCGCCGCCGCACGCAGCCCGCAGCCGCGCGCAGCCCGTCGCCACGCGCAACCAGCAGCCGCGCGCAGCCCGCAGCCGCGCGCAGCCCGTCGCCACGTGCAGCCAGCAGCCGCGCGCAGCCCGCAGCCGCGCGTGCCCTGCCCGTGTGACGCCCGTGAGCCGCACGCATGCCTGTCTTAGCCTGCCTAGAGCGCCTGCCTTGAGCGCCTGCCTTGAGCGCCTTCCTAGAGCGCCTGCCTTAAGCGCCGGCCTTGAGCGCCTGCCTTGAGCACCTGCCTGCCAAGAGTGCTTGCCTGCCTTGAGCGCTTGCCTGCCAAGAGCGCCTACCTGCCTTGAGCGCCTGCCTGCCTTGAGCGCCTGCTTGCCCTGCGCGCTATCTCCGTAGCCTTGCCTGCACTGCTACTATGGCGATGCTTAATGTGCTCGCGTTCGATCCTGACGGCCGTCCAGTAGAGTTCCCCACCTGGCTCGACAACCTGCAACTGTTCCTCCTGACTGATGCAAAGGACGGTGTTTCCCTCTTCGATTACGTGTTTGGAAGTGCCGTTGCTCCTACTGATACTGAGCCTGCTCTAGACCCGCGATGCTGCTGCGTGCCTAGCTATTCGCAACCATCTGCCGATCACAGAGCGCGTGCACTTTAGCCAGCACAAGACTGTCAAGGCACTGTACGACGCTGTAGTTGCCCGCTACTCTTCCCTGGCCACTGCAGCCCTAGGTCGACTTATGCTACCCTACGTATTCCCCGACCTGTCCTCGTTTACCACCGCTAAGGACCTCATCTCTCACCTACGCTCTAGTGACACTCGTCTTCGTGCCGCCCTTCCAGCTGAGTTCCTCGCAATGAACCACCCCCCGATGTACTTTACTCTCTACTTCCTCATCACCCGCCTCCCTGACACTCTTCGCTCACTCATGGACCATTTTCTCGCCCTTGACCCCCATTCTTTCACTGTCGACGACCTCGAGAAGCACCTCCTACCAGCCGAGAAGAACATTCTAGCTGTAGGTACTGCTTGTGGTACTCCCCGCACTCCCCTCTTTGAGGGGTGCTCCCCCTCCCCTCTTACCCCCTCCTACGCCTCTGCAGCTGCTGCTGTCGACCTCCTTGGTGCTGAGAAGGTCGCAGCTGCTTCCGCTCCAAGCGGGAAGCGCAGCGGCTTCAAGGGAGGCAAGGGTGGCGGGGGTGGCGGGCGTGGCGGTGGGGCGGTGGTGGAGGCGGCGGGGGCGGTGGGGGTGGTGGCGGTGGTCGTGGGGTTGGAGGTAGTGGTGGGGAAGGTGGTGGTGCCGGGAGCAGTGGCGGTGGCAGCGACGGTGGTGGCGGAGGGGGGAGTGGTGGTGGTGGCGGTGGTGGGGGCTTGGGTGATGCCAGTGGTGGCCAGGGACAGCAGCAGCAGCATCGTCAGCGCCAGAACCACACTTCCCAGCAGCTCCTTGACTGGTATGCCAGGCGTGGGGCGTCTGGGGGTCCTAGTCGCTGCCCCTATATCATTCGCATAGGTCCCCGCGCTGGTCGGCAAT